TGGCCTGGTAAAGAAGGGGGTATAAGTGCCTGGTAGGCAAGTGGTTAATGTGTCCTGTTCCTGTTAAATTTTATGAATTGTGTGTGGAATTGTTGTGTTGTGGAATAGATGTTTTATGGCACGCTCTGCATTCCTAGAGCTTTGATGGCCTTACACATCATGTGTGACAGGCTAGGTCAGAGGGAAAAATTTTTCAAGAGTTGTGGAAACCGATATCCTACCAAAACTAATTAGTAGGGATACACCGAAATTTCGGTGGCCGAAATGTTTCGACCGAAAATACCCCTATCAGCCTTGGGCAGATATAAAAATAAGCACCGATACAGGTGCTGAAAATAACCTCGCCGGCTGCCGCCGTCCCTCGCTGCCGCCGCCACCCCGCCTCCGCTCGGTGGTTCTCAGGCTTACATGAGAAACCATCGAACGATCCCGGTGCTGGGCATAGAGATAAGTGAAGAAAAGATGGCCTCCACTAATCTCTAAGCCCTTGGAGGACCGGAGCGATGTCATTTTTGGTTCCGGTGCCATGTAAACAAGGTCGTGTGTGTGTGTTTTGTTTTTGTTTTTTTTTTAAATTACTAAATGAATGCTTTTTTTGATCTAATGCTTTACATTTTAGAGCAGGGATGTGGGGTCTTATTGACCCCATATCTCTCCATAAAGAGGGCCTGTCACTTTTTATTTCTATCACAGGGGATGCATACATTCTTTGTGATAGGAATAAAAGTGATTACATTTTTTTTTTTTTTAAATGGACAGTGTAAAAAAATAAAATAAATAAATGATAGTTTAAAGTGCCCCCGTCTTCCCATGCTCGTGCCTAGTGATGAACATATACATAGGCCACGCTCGCATATGTTAACTGTGTTCAAACCACACATGTGAGGTATTGCCACAAATGTCAGAGCAAGAGCAATAATTCTAGCACTAGACCTCCTCTATAACTGTGCACTGTTAACCTATAGAAATTTTTTAATTATCACCCGTGGAGATTTTTAAGTACGTTGTTTGACGCCATTCCACAAGCGAGCGCAATTTTAAAGCATGACATGTTCGGTATCTATTTACTCAATTTTACAAAAAAATTTGGGTATATATTGTTACCCCCTTTCTGCCCAGACCAATTTTCAGCTTTAAGCGCTCTCACACTTTGAATGATAATTACTCATGCAACATTGTACCCAAATTAAATTTTTGTCCTTTTTTTTCACACAAATAGGGTTTTCTTTTGGTGGTATTTAATTAGCACCAGGTTTTCTATTTTTTGCGTTCTGAATTAAAAAAGACCAAAAAAACACTTTTTTCTGTTTCAGTTATAAAATTGTGTCACTTTTCTTCATAAATGTGGGCCAAAATGTATACTTCTACACTGCTTTGGTAAAAATAATCCCAATCGGTGTATATTATGAAAGTTTTAGAGTCTACAAGCTATGGTACCAATCATTGAAAATTGATCACAGCTGATCAAACCTGATGTACTGATGGCCTATCTCATTTCTTGAGACACTAACATGCCAGGACAGTATATAAATACCCCCAAATGACCTTTTTGGAAACTAGACATTCCAAGGTATTTAGTAAGATGCATGGTGAGTTTTTTTGAACCTGTAATTTTTTTTCCCCACAATTCTTTGGAAAATGAAGAAAGTAAATAAAATGTGTTTTTTTTTTTTTTACACAATTGTTATATTAACAGGTTATTCCTCTCACAGGGCATTTGCATACTTGCAGCTTCAGCACAAAAAACACATTCTGCTGCTCCTCCTGAGCATGGGGATACCACATATGTAAGATTTTTCCACAGCCTGGCCACATACAGAGGCCCAACATCCAAGTAGCACCTACAGGACGTTCAGTAGGCATACATTACACATCTCGTTTCCTAACTATCATTTTGAAAGGCAAACACCCCCCAATGTATATTCTATGAGGCATAATTGAGTCTTTTGAACATGTAAGTGTTTTCCCACCAGTTTTCTACTTTCGTCCTTCATACTCCGTATCTGGAAAGCTTCCTTGCTGGTGTATATTTTTTTAGACATGTTTATGCTGCACTGCTGATGTTGATTTTGATGTTCATTGGAACAGATGTTTATCACTGGTACAGATGTGGATTGGACATTGATACTCTGTGACAGATGTTATTTACTTGTACTGATGTGGATTTTACAGTAGCACTGTGTAACAGATATTGAGCACTGGTAAACTGTGACGGATGTGGATTTGACACTGGTAGGCCGTGACCGATGTTGATCACTGGTACACAAGTGGATGACGTGACTGATGTGAATCGCTGGTACAGATGTGAATTTTACACTGGTACACTGACAGATGTGAATCGCTGGTACAGATGTGAATTTTACACTGGTACACCGTGACAGATGTAGATCACTGGTACAGATGTGGAATTTACATTGGTACACCATGACAGATGTGGATCACTAATACAGATATGGAATTTACACTCGTATGCCATGACAGATGTGGATCACTGGTACAGATGTGGAATTTCTACTCCATAGGCGACACTTTATATGTCTTTACAGGTTACCAGTTTAGAGTTAGAGGAGGTCCAGTGCTAGGATTATTGCTCTTGCTCTCACGTTCATGACGATACCTTACAAGGGTGACGTGATCGCTGTTTACGTATGCGTATGAGACCAATGTGTGCGTTTGCCACCCCCCCCCCCCCCCAACTACAGAGACCTGTGTCTCTGCTGACATTCTGAGATGGCTGTGACTGGACACAGACACAATGTGATTGGGAGGGCCAATCAGGGAGCCCTTATCCCTATCCGTAATGGGCTGTGTCTGAGGAACACAGCCATCACAGAATGGTGCTGCTGCGCGTCGGGGCCATGCTCAGGCACGTGTTCTGAGGGATTTACAGGAACGTCCACTCAGAATGGGGAAGCTCCCACCTGGCCGTTTATGTACATTGGCCAGGTGGGAGGTAGTTAATCATTTAAAGTGTATTTTTTTACCCAAAAAATTGCATTTGAAAAATATATTAACTGTCCAATTCGGTTTCGGCACCAGAATTTTCATTTTGGTGCACCACTACTAATTAGCTGTTTACATCTCTGACCAGGTCTGCACACTGGCTCTATTGTGTTTTGGTTACGATAAGAGACTCTTTAGAAGTTCGTTAAAACTTGCAGCTACAAATTCCACAGTTTGCAAGGGGGGGGGGGGTCACTGCTCATGAAAACAAAATGGTTGAGACCTTTACAAGATGGCTATCGTGTACAACTACTATGTCCATATTGCTCACAATCATTACAACATCCACAATGACATTTCATTATATAGACAACCCCCCGGGGTTTGACAGGTTATTAAATTAGTATTATTATACAGGATTTATATAGCGCCAACAGTTTGCTCAGCGCTTTACAATATAACGGGAGACAATACAGCAACAATACAATACAGGGATAGGAGGGCCCTGCACCTTGGAGCTTACAATCTAGGAGGGAGGGGCTAGTGGTACAAAAGGTAGTAACTGTGGGGGATGGACTGGTTGGAAGAGTAGAAGATTCCAGTATTCAATGTTTTAATGCATGAATATCTTCATTGGGAAGCAGAACCTGTTGACCAGGTAACACAAAACTGCACAAATTGCATGTTCTGCAGGGAAGAAGGCAGGAATAATGTACCAGTTTTCTCTTTTTGGAGTATAGTGACTTTTTACTAAACAGTCTTTAAGAGAACATGATCGTTTAAAAGTAATTTCTGGATAGGGTTTGACATGTTTTTGAATAGTAGGATCAGCTAGTACTAATGGCTAATATTTGTTAATCTGTCTCACCTTTTTATGTTGTTTGGAAAATTTTGTAATTATTCTCACAGACTGTGAATCTTTAGGTGTTTTCGGTGCATAAATCATAGAATTTCGATTTTGTTGTCTGGCTCGGTTGAATGCTTTCTTCAAGCAATTACGACTATAACCTTTACAGTATAGTCATTGTATGTAGCATTGGAATGATCAGCAGTCATCTCCCTGAAGAAGACTGGAAGGGTGAATCATGTTGGGACTGTTGAAAATCTGTAAACTGCTGTAACAATTTGTAAATTACATTGCACATGTTAATCCTCTATGAAGGAAGATTTTATGTTTTGGAACTAAATAAATGTTATTTTAATTCTATGGATATGTTTATAAAAATTTGTTCTGATCTCAGTATTGTTCGGAGGATGTATGGCACCCTTAAAATCCCTCAACTATTTTACATGCTTACTTTAAGAAAATGGAATGTAGGTGCGGTTTAATATTGCCGGCAGATTACAATAATAACTCAATCACATGTAAACTCCCCATCCTGCATTTGCACATATACAAGGGGGATGCTGCTTTTGATTGGCCCAGTACAGTGATTACCTCTTGGTGGGCTCACGTGGATTCGGACTATGATCTGAACACACCTGAGCTCATCCCTAGTGCTAACATTTGTCAGCAAGTATATAATGCATGTTCAGGTTTCTATCATATGCAAAGAAAACGATTATGGTAAATAACTATGTAGACTGCTGCATATTTATTACCAATAAATATTTAAATATTTCAATTTTATAAATTGCCTAGAGAGTAGTTAGTCTCACCAAGGTTTAAATTTAAACATTAAATGTACAGGCTGGAGTAAAGAAGGGAAAGGGGAGACATGATTGAAACCTTTTAAATACATTAAGGGGGTGAATAAGGTTCAAGACGGCAGTATTTTCAATATGAAGCCAAGATCAAGAACACGGAGACATGACTTCAAATTAAGCAGAGGAAAGTTCAAAACTTTTCCTGTAAAAAAAGAAAAAAAGTTTGCCAAAAGAGTAGTTGATACTTTGAATAGACCTCTTGCAGAAGTAGTGAGTCACTCAACAGTAAGTGGATTAAAATATGCATGGGACAAACAGAGATCTATACACGGTGGATCACTTGATCTTTTTTTTCCTGTTACTTTTCTGTTTCTATGTTTCAAATTACAGCTTATCATTTTACTCCTCAGATGGTGTGGCCCATGCAAGATTTTGGCTCCTCGATTGGAGAAAGCAGTTGCCAAGCATGAGGGAAAAGTGTTAATGGCAAAGGTGGATATAGATGATAATACAGACCTTGCTCTTGAATATGAGGTATTTGTTTCCCAATATAATTGTACAACTTATAAAACACACACACACACTCACTCACATATTTATATACACAGTGAGGGAGATTTGCTAAAACTGGAGCACTCACAATCCGGTACAGCTGTGCTTGGTAGCCAATCAGCTGCTAACCTCAGCTTGTTCAATTAAGCTTTGCCAATAAAACCTGGAAGCTGATTGGTTTCTATGAAGAAGTGCGCCAGATTTTGCATTCTCCAGCTTAAGGCTAGGTTCACACTTATGCAGTTTACGCTTGATCCATTTCTGCAGTGCTTTTTGCATTTTTGCACATTCGGTTTTTGCCGCGTTTTAGATGCGTTTTTTTTTTTTTTTTTATGGGGGTTTCTGTTGCTAGGCAAAATAAAACGCAGCAAAAACACACTACATGCTTTTCTGCAGCATTTCCATTGACGTCAATAGAACTAAAAGCACAACTTTTTGCATTTTAGAAAAGTCCTTGATCCTGGTGAAAACGTGGAGATGTGAATGTGTCCCATAGGAAACATTAAATGGACTGTAGCGCATTTCTGCAAAATGCTGCGGAATCCGCTTAGGTGTGAACCTAGGGTTAGTAATTAAACCCCAGTATATGACTCTCATTATAGAATGTCATTTATGTAATTTTAAGAAACCTTTGTAAACCTCCAGCATAGGACATACGAGGTCAATACCAGCATCCATATACTTAATAAAAGACTGGCCCAACAGGAAGTAATGGCTATGTAGACCCTTGTAGCTTGTAGCATTTAAATAGAATGCACCCTCCTTGCCATGTGCTTTGCAAAATAAAAATCAAACACCTTAGCTCATCTGTAATGCATAATTTGACCTATCCCCCCCCCCCCCCCAACACAAGAACAGCAGCTGTGGTTTAAATCCCACCTATTTTTTTTTTTAATTAAAGAAAAATTTCCCAGCAGACTTTAAACGTAAAAAAGAAGCTTTCACTTAAATACTCGCCTTTTCTTCAGCGCCCTTCCAAACGGGCACAAGCTTCTGCGGTCTAGCATATGTTGTATGTCTCTTTTTGGTTGCTATCCAACCCACCTTCTGTTAATACAGCCTATCACAAACATGCCAGCCTGGGCTTACAATACTCCTAGACACAACTGTGAAAGGACATTCTCAGTTTTCCATAATTCAGAGAAGTGATATTTGAATTTTTTGTCAGTTTTGGAAAGTCATAGCTGACTACAGATTGAAGACGATAGATATTTTTCTCAATCATCTTCCAGAACAGCACACAAGAGGGTGACTCCTCCCATTTAAACAATGCTTACAAAGTATAAACATTTTCTCAATTCTTCTGTTTTTGATTGGCCCAGCAGTTTCAACTTTTTCTTTCGTATTTTTCTTTTAGTGTCCCCTTTGATCATTTTGAGGCCTTTCACCTTGCCTTATCTACGTGATGGCATGGACAGTACTTTTTAGTTTAGGGTTGTAGAGGGGAGGAAGAGATGCCTCCCATATGGTGTACCTGTACCTTCCCTTCCTCTTCTTCCTGCTTGCAGGAATGATTCTCTTAGACTTTTAGTTCACTCCACTTCCTGCTCTTCATGCTTCACCCCAGTACCCAGGACTTTACTATTCTCTTGTATGGCCATGGAAGAAATGCCTCTTAACTGTTCTGTTCTTCCCCTGAGCTCTTGAGGATGAAAGAGGCTTTAGATATCCCACTTTTGGTAGCTAGTCCTGCTGTTACTTCAGCATCCTTAGTTTTCTTCCAGGTCACATAGATTGTGATGGTTGTGGAAAATGGCCAACTTAGGATATTTCCCAAGCAAGTTGAAGCACATCCATGAATGAGGAATCCCCTTCAAGGTTAGGTTCTGTGTCATTGAGTAGTCATGGCACCGAGCAATGTAGCTGTTTACTGGGCAGACCACACTGAAGATATTTCCTAACCAGCATTTACCAAAGCAGTTGCTTAGGTTGTTCTCGGTAGATAAATGTTTTGGTGGTTCTTTCACCTTTCTTTCCATTTTCTTTTGGTTGTTTTACAATCCAGATCCATTCTTCATGATGCTTCAGACCAGGATATTGGAAGCTCAGAAAAAGGAAGATATATTGCTCTCTGCTTCCAATATGATTCCAATGTCCTGGTTTGAAGAATCATTGAGGATGGATCTGGATTGTAAATCATCTGGAGGTTGGAGTGGTGATCAATGCTGTGACATATGAGAACCCCAGTGGGAAGGAGCATATGACCTAATATGTGTTGGGTCTACTCTTAACATGAGAGCATAAGCTTTGTGGTGACAAGGATGTGCAATTTGTATGAAGGATACATCATAAAACATTGGGGTTAAGAATTTAAGTTGAAACAAGAAGAATGTTCTAAACTTCAGACATTTTGGACACAAAGCATAATAAGTAATACACACTGGACATATGGCTAATTGTGTACACATAAACGTTATATTCTGATTCTCCACTTATAATATAGTGTGGTGCAAAGAGAATGACCACATGTCTTTGTGGGTTGGTACATATGGATAGCTAATTTGTACATATGGATACTTAGTATAGGAGAATGTGTATATATTTGATAAGAAACCAATAGGATAGATTATAATTGCACTTTAAAGGGACGTTTATTTTTTAAAGTGGTAAACACATATAATTGTTTGGTACACATGGATAAGAAAATATAGTTTTTGTTTTTTTTTTTCACTATTTCTATCATTTTATTTCGATATATTTGGAGTGATGACACAGAACACTTTATATTCAGCTATTAGATGGTATAGATAGGGCTCTTTACTGCATAGTGCTGCGCGGCACTGATGTTTATTTTTTGATTACTATAAAATGTTTCGGTACTCCTATATTCCACCCCATAACCCTTGTGATTTGTTTGGGGGAAGACCAGTGACACCCTCTAAAACAGTGGGGGTCCACTTGAAAAGTATAGTAGGTCTTAAGTATAGCCCCTATACAATAGCAGTTCATTTTTGTGCATTGAGTGAAGTTAGGCAGCCCACTTGCAATGAATGTGCTATAACAAACCTCAACACCCCAATATTTCAGTCTTGCTGCTTTTCTTTTTGCAGCATATCACAATGCACACTGAGGAAGTTGGCATACAGTAGCCCCCAGAATTGTCAGTGACAGTAACAATAACCCCCAGAATTGGTGTCAGTGAGTGCAATAATAACCCTCAACATTGGAGTGTCAATGGATGCAATACTAACACTTAATGTTAGTGTTAGTGGAAGCAATAGTACCCCTATCATTAGTGTCTGCAAGTGTAATAATACACCTCAACATCGGTGTTAGTGAATGCAATAATAACCCTCAACATCGATGTCAGTGAGTGCTATAATAATCCCCAACACTGGTGTTGGTGAATGCAGTAATAACCCCAAACATTGGTTTTAGTGGATGCAAGACTAACCTCCTGCATTTGTGTCAGTGAGTGCATTAAGAACCCCCCACAATTGGTGTCAGTGGACGCATTAATAACCGTCAACGTTGGTGTCAGTGGACACATTGTTAACTCTCAACATTGGTGTCGGTGGACGCAGTAATAACCCCCCACTGGCTGTAACATTTAGTCCACCCCCACCCCCCCCCCCCCCCCCCCCCCGGAATTGGTGGCCATTGGCAGTAAAATGTAACCTCCTCCACCCACCTGTATTGTGATCACAGCAGTGAAAGTTAACCCTCTACCACTATCACCACCCCCCATTTCCCCCTTCCCTCCCTCCCCCACCACATTGGTGGTCATGGCAGTAAAAGTTTACACTCCTCTGAGGAGTACATCTCTGAAATATATCTGTATTAAAAGTGTGTATTCCAGGCATTTCATAGAAGTCAGAATTATTAATGTAGATATTGTGAATGATTTGGGTTTTCAGTAAAAACACATGCTGCCAGCTGGTTGGATGTGTTATGGGTCAAAGGCATGGTTAGCTGACCCCAGTGTCAATTACGTTGGCACTTAGATTGTGGTGGAGCTAGAAGATATTTGTGTCAGGTGCGACAGGGAGCATCAACATCATGTATTGGTGGAAGCACGCTGTTACCTGACCTGCAGTTTGTCACATATTGGTGGCAGTGGCTGAGATCTGACACCTGTTATCATAAGATTGTTTCTCTCAAGTGATGTTTTGGGCTAGTCTTGGGTTGTGTGTAAGAAATGTACATGAAAATGACATCGGAGTGGAGATTCTGCATAGTCCATGCATAGGCTGCTTTTATTAATATCAGTATTCATTCCATGTGAAGCTACATCACTATAATTGTAGGCAATGTGTTTTCATAGAGTCTGATGTTTAAAGTAAATGACTCTCAGCTGAGAATGATTTGTTATACTGGAAGTCGGTTTGTTTGACATTTGTCATTTTATCAGTGGGTTCTGATTATTTTTATACATAAAACAAACAGTTTGTTTCATCATTGTTTATCCAGATGAAAAATTTCCCAGCGTTTGTCCTTCCTTATCTTTTCCCAGTCTCTGAATCCTTTATTGATTTACTGTTATTTTTTTATCCAGATCTTTTTTCAGTATTTAAGGATATATTTATAGGTGTATTATATATTGTTAGACTAGGGAGCTGCCATTAATTAAAGGCACCCCTGCGCCTCTTCTGACAGCAGCGTGTTTTTGGTGTGGGAGAGTACGATTACATGCAGTCCGCACTGTGAACCTAGCTAGTGTGAACCCAGCCTTATGCTGTGCCAAATTTGTAGAGAATACGTATTCGTTATTAGCTTGTTTTCACACTATTCCATTGGAAAAACTCAGTGAAAATGCAAATGCGTTGCAAAACCTCAATGATTCCTATAAGTGGAGAAAGGAGAAGGACTCTATGTAGCCTAAGAAGTAGGTTCGCATTAGACCGTTTTATCAGGTGAATCTATCCATATATCCCATACCTTGGAAAACTCTGTCAGGCATCCCTTGGATTCGTAGGTGAATTTGTATAGTGGCACAGCTACATTAACTAAATGCTTCCAGAAATCCAGAGTGGGGGCTAATG